TTTTGCCTGGTGAAGGGTCCAGACTCGGGGCGGCCTTCGTGGGAGGGGCGTGGGCGGGATGGGGGTCGCGGACGGGGCGGCCAGGGCGAGCATCTCTGGTCCCCGCCGAGTCGGCGGCCGCCTCCCTCGGTCCTCCGCTCTCTGGGGCGCCGGCCAGCTGGAGGGAAAGACGGGAGGAGGCTGGGGAGGGCCGTGCGGGTCCTTTGTGTGCCCCGCCTCTCGGAGGCCGGGGCGCGGCGACCAAGAGCGAGGCACCTGCAGGACCCCGGTGGCTGGGGGAGAAGCTGGGGTGCGACGGAGCAGGGACGCGTAGCCGGGGCTGCTTTCCTCGGGTCGAGAGTCCCTGGGTACCTGGGAGAAAGCAGGCACTCAGAGGAGAAGTCGTGGGAGGGAAACGTCTTTAGGGCAGAGATGGGAATCCCGAGGGAAAAGTTCCAGATGATTAATTGTGGGAGGGGGAGGCAGAGAAGCAGATACGAGGTTGTGGGGTTTTAGCCGAAGAGAGTCTTGAGGAATTGGGGAGAAGTTTGAATGGAAATAAGGTATCGACTAGGAGCGGTGTGGTGCTAAATATGGTGATAGCTGTGAGGCTACTGTATCGATCCCCAAGTGATCGGCTGTACGTCGAAGTGGGGAGAGATGGGAAGACGGCCTTGTTTCAGAAAAACAGACCGCCGTCTTGAATTACTTGGATGGTTTGTATTTGTTCTTCTTTGCTTCGTTAAGCTTTATTTTGATGAGATTTTTGTTGCTGTGAAATTTCATTTGGAAAGTTTGCAGGTGATTTCGGAACTGATGATACGATGCTTTTATATACTAATTATCTTGGACTCAAAGTAAGTTATAGATGAAGTGATAGTTACTACATATTCTTAAGATCTTTGATTATAAGATTAATACAAGACACAACACATAATATGTGGGGAAATTGATTTCTTAAAGGTTGGAAAATGCAGAACGTGGGCAGTAGTGTACTATTTTCTTTTTTTAAATTTTTGCAAGGAGGGATTATTAGTCTTTCTGAGTATTACTTTTTAAACATACATTTACTGGGTGCCTAATAGGTTTTGTATGAAGCCTCGGGGTGTGCTGATAAATACAGCAAAGTCCTTATTCTCTTGGCACTTATATTGAGTAAGGGAACAATGTGTGAAAGATACTGAGATGAGAAACACCCTGATAAAAATCTCTTAGTTTGGGTTTTTTGGATGTGACTCAAAACCTGACTCAAATTGGCTTAAAAATGTGAAGGGAATTTATTGATTGGTTTAAAGTAAGATTTGATCCAGTGGCTTAATGATATTGCCTCAATTTCTTTCATCCAAAGATGATTCCCCCCAGCTTTTGGAGCTACATACTGTCTTAAATAACACGTCGTTCTAACGGTTTTCAGAAGTTCTGCAGTTCACTCTGATTGGGTTAGCTTAGGTCATGTGGCCACCTCGAACCAGTGCCCTCATTGGACACATGTTCTATCCTGACTTCACTGGAACAAGGATCCCCAATAGAGTTCCCAAATCAGAAATCTGGAATTCTTGGGAGGGAAGTAATGTCAAATGTCTGCTGCAGGGTGTTGAAAGGATAGCTCATGAAGATTTTTTTCTTTGAAAAACAATAATGCAGGAAAATAAATTAGGAATAATATAACCATTAAGCTTAATAAGTTACGTATTTGTTATTTAGGTGACATAGCATAATTGGAAAAATATGAATTTCCAAGTCAGATTTTGACACTGCCAGTATCTTTGTGACTTAGGGCAAGGTATTAAGCTAGGCCACCATGTGCAGGTTGGCCTGAATCTGTCCCCTTAGCCTCAGTTTCTTTATTCGTGATAAGATGATAACGTATAGCTCAGGATTGTTAAGAGTTAAATGGTGCTTATACTATATTTATTTATTGAACACATACCGTATTTGAGGATGGGGCTAAGTGATGGAAGTACAAGTATAAAATAAGGCATGCTGGCTACTGTTTCTTAATTTACCTAGAAAATATTGATTACGTGGTAAATGGTATATACTGTCATGAATTCTAAATTTTAGGATAGTCACGTACCTTTTGTTTAAGTAAATTGAACCAATATTTTATTGTTAAGATTACTAGACTTATAGCTAATCTTTCTTTTCCCTTTTTTTCTCTCCAGATGACTGTCCTGTATGCTTGAATGATGCTCATTCAGATTATATATCTGAATCCAGACTGTGAAACTTTAAAATAGACTTTAGATTTAGATGCATTTAAACTATTTGTTATTGAGGCACATTGGGGGTGTCATAAGTAATTGCTTTGTAACTGTCTTTCTAGTTCCACTTACAGGAATACTTAAAATTATGAATGGATACTCCAAACATTTAAATTATAGCCAACAATAAAAAATTGCCTTCATGTTAAAGAACTTTTAGTTGATTTAAAGACTAGTTTTAGACTAAATTATTATTTTGTGGAGATTCTAAATATTAGTGTAATCAGTAAGTAATATAATAAAAGTTGTCCTATCCTTAAAAAATGATTTGTAAATCTTTCAGTGAGAGTTTAGATAAAGTAAAAAATAACATTTGAGAAACACTTTGCCACTCTTACTACCAGCTATTTTATATGGACAGTGCATTTAAATTTGGAATTTCACAAGTAGGTAAATGTAGCTGGATTAGTAATTTATACTCTATTAATTTTGTGGGCATTTTGACTCTGGTGAATCTTTATTACAAGAATTTAATATTTTTAGATTAAAGTTGAACACATGAAAAAGGTATTTCATTTGTTTTTATACAGTTATAACCATTAGGATGGATTGCAGTCAAACGCTCTTTTGAAGCTTTGTTTATAATAGTCAGGACTTCATGAGGTCACATTGGGCAGTGATTTATATTCTTAATTATGTTTTCACTTTTTTTGATTTTCTCACATGGCTACATTCAAAGTACTTATAGTAATATAATAATAAAAATATAAATAAAATATAAAACTAGAATAATAACAATTACTACTACTATTGAGTGCTAGCTGTGTGGCAGGCATTATTTTAGTAACAATCACGTAAGGGTACTGTTATCTGCCCACAACTTTAAATTTTAAAAGTAGCATACACTTTTAGTGCTTTGCTGTGGCACCCTGCTTGATGTTGGGAACCAGAACTAATGCTGATTCTACCATTAAAGGATGGCAGAATTGTAATATTGTACCATAACATTGTAAATTGTTATGAAATTCTATATTTTGGGAACTGAAGGGATAGATTTTACTTCATTGGGTTTTAAATGGGAGAGCAGATTATGGATGTATCATTCATGTTTGTTTTATGACTATGTCACACCTTTTTTTTTTTTTAAAGGAACTTCTTGGCTCTAAAATGTGTATTCTTATCTTTGAATTTTATTCAGAAACTGCTGTTGTGTATTGTATTGTATATTCTGGAGGCAGTGGGAATATGTTGCTGACTTTTCCAGCAGCATTTTTTTTGAATCTGGCATATCCATACTACCTTGTGCCATGAGTTAATTCTCTTGCTATTTTCTGTATATGAACTGTAATTAAAACTCCTCATTCTTTTTATTTTATTTTTTGTTTTATCATTACACAATGTAAATATTTTTTTCTGGCCTTTTACCAATTTCTTCCTAAACCTTCTGCTTCCCCTCCCCCTTTCCTACCTCTGGTGGCCTCAGTTCCATTGTTCTGTCCTTTTGAAAGTTCAAGGAATTATTGTGATTGTTGTGTCTTTCTTTATTTCTTTTTCTTTTCTTTTCTTTTTTTTTTTTTTTTTTTGGTAAAATTCTTCATTCTATGCTGTCAGGATTTGTAGTGGATAGGTTTATCAAAAAAGTCAATTAAAGCAAGCAATCATTAAAAAAGATGTATATATACACACAGTATATGTATATACGCACACATACATATATATTATATCTATAACAAGACTTTTTTTTTTTTAACATATAGCTGTTAATTTGCCAGCGCTTTTTTCTAACATTACATAAAAAAAACTTTTTTTTGAATATGGATCCACTGACTGGATTCTTTGTTCCCTGATATAACTCAGACTCAAACTGTGCTGTTTTTGATTTTTAGCATTTTAACTTACTTTTAAAGCAGTTTGAATGCTAAATTGTTCCTAAACTTTTATGATTTTTTTTTTTTTCAGTCTCTTACAGCTCTGGTTCACAGTTAAATTACTGCTTTTCCTAGTGATGTGATTTAGTCGAGTCTCTAAAATACTTCACTTAGTTTACATGGAAACAATTATTCTCACACATTTTGTCACTGTTGTACTTGATATTCAACTACACTATGTACTCACCAATTGTATTACCGAATGCTATACCAAACAACTCTTGATAAGCATAAGACTCAGTTGGAAGGAGCAGGAGAGAGTGGCCTTATAGCCATGAATGTTCATTGTGGCATAAGCTGTAGGTTTTTTAGAGGGAAGGAGAAATCTGGATTCATGGAACAAATTGGTTCAGAGGGACTCTTCTGTAAGTGCTGTGAGCACCTTCTGTACTGGGAAAACTCTTCAACATTCAGGGTGTAATGACATCATTTTACATTAACTTGGTATGAAGGTGTTATTTCTGTATTGTCTGTCTTCTATTCTTTACTCGTTTGTCCATGATTTTTGGCTAGATGTATGATTGTAAACACTTAAGCCTTAGTTTCAAAGTAAAGTACAATTTTTCTAGATTAAATTTATATTAAAAATTTAAATGTCAGTGAATTGGATTATAAATGAAAATAATTAAAACATTGCTTTAAGGAACTTGCTTACCTCTGGATGTCGATTTCAAAACCATTGCCTCTTTAGAAACCTCTGTATCTGTTCTAGTAGTTTTCTTTGGAAAACAAGCAAATCTCCTAGACTGGTATTTTCAGTCTTTCCTATGCAGCATGTGTGATGCTCACATTCATGAGAAACTCTTGTGGAGGTATTTAGGACTAGGTGTCAATACCGTTGCCATTTTTTCCCCACTCAGTATTGCATTTCCCAGTTCAAATAGTCAAAATAATGATTGTCTAGAGAAACACAACTTGGATTATACTAATGTGTATAAAAAAGGTAAATCATTTCTAACTTTGAGGACTTTCATTATTAGCGGTTTCTTGTGACATCCTTACAACCTCACACGTGAGAGCTATTGCCCTAAAGACACCTGACAACATGATTAGGATGAAGTGTATTAACTAACTTTACAGTGGGGATAGGAAACTTACTTGAATTGTTTGAAATATGGGGAATGATGATTTTTTTTTTTTAAATTAGAACATTTTTTTTTCAGTTTTTTGTCTTTTTTCGTGACGGGTAACGGGATTGCAACCCTCGGTGTCGCGCCCGTACTGCAACCAGCAACGGGATCGCAACCCTCGGTGTCGCACCCGCACCGCGCTCAACCAGTGAGCTGACGGGTCTCTATATGGGATCCAAACCCTCGGCGGGAGTGCTGCCGCGCTCTCAAGCGCCGCACTCTACTGAGTGCACCACCGGGCCGGCCCGGCCCAAAATTAGAACATATTTGTTCAAAGACTTCTAAGTAAGGTGTCAGTCTTTTTGATTGATTCCATAAATGTTGTTTTAGAGGGAGGAAGATCATAATTATACCCTACTTTTATTCTGGTTTCTTATTTTAAGCGGTATATTAGCAAACTGGAGCATGCTTCAAGGGCTGTGACCAAGATGGTAAGGTGATTTGAAACTTTGTT